GGAGGGGGTAAAGAAAAACATGCAACAATGAATGAATGAAAATCCAAAATCTCTGTAAATGTTAATTTAAATTAATAAAATAAAATTTTAAAAAAATGTCCTCTGAGAGCAGAGAGATTAGTTGATTTCATTCGGTTGCTATATCAACCAGTGTCCACTGACATGAAGTAGGCTTCTAAATATTTAAATCAAAACAAAACAAATTTGATAGCTAACATAATAAAACATTTTCCTAGAAAATCTAAAATATAATTAAAAGTCACATAGGAGGCCCTGGATGGCACAACTAAGGACTACATGAAAGAATAGTTCTAACCCACAGAAAAATATTTCAGAAAAAAAATGCCTGGTGATTTGCATCTTGAAAATACTTTGCAGAGTAGTTTTACTCTGTAATCTATGGGATGACCATGAGCCAGAATGAACTTCACTAGCAACTGGTTGGATTGTTTCGGGGTTTTTTTGAGGGGGAACACATATACCTCTGAAAGGACCTCTTGAGGCAAAATATTTAAGTGATCCACTACTGTCCCCAAAAGGTGGCAGTGGCTTTTGTAAAGTTGGCTAGGTGCTCTGAAGGAGAAAGAGCAGGTAAAAACGCTGTTATAAAGTTGTAATGGTAAAAACCCATGAAAATTCTATGGCCACATGGACTGCTATGAGCTACAATCAACAGGATGGCTCTGAAGAACAACATAATTCTTTGAGAGCTTCTCTACATTTATTCTTTTAAACTGAGCCTGTCAACAATTTAAGTCATGCTGAACTCTAGTAAATGTCTCAAATTTAAGCAGTGTTAAGGTATGTTGGAATCAGTGACTGGCTCAGGATATGGCAGGCTTCAAAGCTGCTATGCACAAGGTCTTCAATGGGTCGCAGGTGATGTGATGGCACATTACAACAACAATTTATGTACCTGAAAGTATATTTTTTAAAATGACATAACAGAGAAATATAGTAAATCCAAAACTTCCTCCAGCACCAAAACTATCAGGGAATTATTGCTGAAACTAAACAAAAACCCCAGACACTTCACTCCTCTATTGCTGTCAATGAAGTCTAGCTAAAGCATCTCAAAAATCCAAACTCATTTCAGACCTTCAATCATTCATTCTGCATCTTACCACAAAAAACAAAAGCTATCTCCTCTGAACTATTAAAAAACCCAAACCCACAGCTGACTCATGGTAACTCCATGTGTCAGAGCAGAATTGTGCCCTGTAAGTTTTTAATGGATGACTGAAGGTAGACAAACAAAATCTTTCTTCTCAGGTGCCTTTGGGTGAACTTGAACTTTCAACCTTTCTGCTGGTACCAGTGATTCTGAGGAATGAAGCTGGTGAAATCCTTTCCAAAATTGACCTTATGCTTTAGCAGGTAGGGAGCTGAGCTTCTGTGGTGGTTCAAATGCACCACTCCTTGTGAGAAAAGGTGGGCAATCTCCTCCTGTATGATTTACAGGCTTGGAAATCCACCAGAGGATCAAGTATTAGTTGGTTCCAACGTCACAGGAGTGAGAGAGAGTGAGCAGGATGAGGGGACGGGTTAAGTCAGGGAGCCTATTGCCATGCTGAGATTGACATTTAGAAATCAGACCTAAAAATAATTTTCCATACTTTATGGTATTTTCTCTTGATATTTAAATGCTCAGATTTTACTGAATGACCTCTCAGGTCCTCTACTGTAACATTCTATTATCTTGTATATTCTTAAACCCATAAATCCTTATTTTAGGAGGAATGTAGTTTACAGGAGGCATGCCTGACAGCACCTAAATATTTATCAGCCATGCAAGTTACTTAAACTTAGGCTTTTTCCTCTTTAGAAGGGTGGACAAATTACAAAAAGATAATAGTTTAAACTCCAGCAAAGTGTCTGAAGGATTTTTTTTTCCCTTTCCCACAAAAGTTGCTAGTATTACTTTGCTCTAGATCTAGCTCATTCTTTTACTAAGAACACTGCAATGCTGGATTTACTGGGTCAAAACGAGCTAAAAGAATAGGAAAGCAGTGAATGTAAATTTTAATTTCCATCTCAATCTGGCACACACACTGAACAATTCCTTTTGTTTTTTTCTTTACAAAACAGAATGTTGTTGCTACTGATTATACGTCAGTAATTGAAACACCAGATTTGTTTATGATCCATATTGTGAAATTTACATCTGTTCACTCATTTTTTTTAACTGAGTTGGCATAATGTGGGTGATGACTGTAGAAAACTGTCCCAGTTCCTTAGTACTGACACTTCCTTGATTGCGGAATATGGTGAGGTCAACTTTTTCTTTCAAGTGTATTTGAAATATACCAGTGAGGCTAGGCAAAGGAAACGCCTCATTCCGCCCAGGGCTCTACTGATGATGCTTTCCATTCTGAAATTAGTTGATGTTATTTGTCTGGGAGTTGGACGCGACTCACAGTACACAGCAGACCCAGCTAGTGGGTTTTCAAGGGAGGAGACTGCCCTTCTCTGGAAGATCAACTGGTGGGTTCGGATTATCTGTCTTTACGTTGGCAGCCCGACCACTCCTTCCACACTAGGCTACCAGAGATCCCTTCCGAAATGAGTAGAAGCTCTCAAATCCCAAGTTTCCTACGGTTCTGGTAAAGTCTGGTAGCCAACTGGCGATTTCCACTTCTCCGTGTGAGCTGCCAAGCCGAGGGACAATCCTTTCTGAGAGAGGGAGGGAGGAACTATGTTGGCAGCTCTTAGGATTTGAGGCGCAGGAAAAGGAAACTAACTCCCTTCTTGGACTCAGTGGAGAGGACGAAAAGAGACGAAAGGAAAAGGGCGGGGGCAGCTGAAGAAAGGTCTAAGTCACCCCGGTCCGGCGAGCAAGGCCTCGGCCGGCGGCCGGAGCGAGGTCACCCGGGCACCGGCGTCGTGGGATCGGAGAGGCAGGCGGGGCCGCGCCTCGGAGCCAGCGCCAACTCAAGGTGTCCTCCAGGGAGGAGGAAACCCTCCAGCCCCCTTCCCAGCCCACTTCGCCTTGTTTCCCCGGGAGAGGCAGTTGGCTAAGAAGGGTGGTAAATAAACGGCTGCCGGGCCCGGGAAAGCCCAGGCCGCGCCCGTCGCCCGAGCCTCGGGCGGCAGCTGACCCACCCGGCGAGGCGAGATCGGGGCCGGAGAGTGGACGTGGACGTGGACGTGGACGCCGCCGCCGCCGCCCTGGGCTGAGCGCTCGGGCGGCTCCTCCCTGGCCCTCCCGGGGCGTTGCCACCCGGTAACCCCCATCACCTTACCTGGACGGCTCGACTGAGGAAGGTGCCGGCGTCGGCCGCCAGTTTCTTCATGTTAAAATCCATGATGTTCATTCTGGGCAGCAGCCGGGCGGGGCGGCCGGCTGACCTAGCAGGGAGGCGGAGGCGCCGCAGCAGGGCTGGGGCGCCGAGCGAGAGCGGCGGGGGGAGACGTGGTAGGTGGAGGGAGGCGGCGCCGGCCCCGCCGCCGCAGCTGTCGTTTCCGTGAAGGGGGAGGGAGAGGAGGAGGGTGGGGCCAGGGGAGGGAACGAGCGTCACAGAGCGAGCTGCGCGCGCCGGCGGCGGCTGCGGCCGAGACGCGGGGCCTCGGGCGTCCGGAGGCCAGCCGCTAACGTCTGCGTTGGCACCGGCTTGCAAGCGGGAGATGGCTGTTCCTGTTTTGCGGCCCGGGTTCCCAACGTAGCCAGCGAGCGCCTGCTGCGGGGCGGAGCTTTTATGAAGGTTATCTCGGGAACAGCGCCCCCATCAGGACCGCGGCGGTCCGGCCGCGTGGCGCTCCGGGAAGTCTGACTGGCTCACTCAAGGGAGCTGAGCGTTTGCAGTGAGGATAGTAGTAGTCAGAGAAGATGAGGTTGGCTCAGGGTAGAGCAGGGTTCAGAGCTGTTGTACATAGGGTCGCAATGAGTCCCAAGTTGATTTGATGGCACTTAACATCAACAACAATCCCTAAATATTTTAACTCGAGGTTTTAATTTGTTTTTCCATTCCTGGAAAGTTCTTCACTTTTTATTTTCCAATTCTAGGTCTCTGACTAAGGTGCGCCTGATACAGGCCATGGATACTATAGATAGTAAGGGAACCATAGCGCAGTAAACGCGCTTAAATTCAGCTCCTGCGAACCAACCACAGAGACACCGAATCTCTTTTAATTTAAGAGTGAATATGGAAATTGTGGCGTAGAATTACAGTATCTACGAAATGAATACCAACAGGTTCTTAACATTTTCACAGGCACACGTGGGATATTAGCAGAATAAAGTTTAATTTCGTGTCCCCACTCAGCCTTTTGTGCATTCTTTTAGCAATATTGAGGACCTACCTAGTGCCCTGGTGGTCTAGTGGTTAGAAGCTGCACTGCCATCTCTAAAGCAAGTAGTTAGAATCCACCAGGTGCTCCATGGGAGAGGATGGATAATATCCTCACACGTGATTTACTCCCTCTAAAACCGGGAGAATCAGCTATGGGTCAGTTCTGACTCAATGGCAAACAACAACTGAGTGCCATGCATAGGTGTTGGAGATACCATTCTGATAGGCAGGAACTGTCCCTGCCCTCTAGGAGCTCTCAGTCTGGTTACTTGTCAACCTCCAGAGAGGGCTATTCATCTACTTGCTGCAGGAAAGACTGTGACTACCAATTGAAGTATTTCAGATAACAGATGTTGCCCTGGATGTGCTCACCAAGTTGTGCCAAGAAATCTGGAGAACAACCACTTGGCCAACAGACTGGAAGAGATCTATATTTGTTCCCATTCCAAAGAAAGGTGACCCAACTGAGTGTGGAAACTACAGAACAGTGTCATTGATTTCACATGCAAGC